ACCTTTAAGATTCCCCTGTTCAGTCCCTGCGGGCTCCCAGGTGGGCTGGGATTCACAGACAATTCCCTGAGCTCTGTGAGCGGTGGGGTGAGCAGAAATTAGCTGGAAACCTACAGCCTGAGAGCCTCCCCTGGGAGCGAAGCGATTTGACAGTGATAGTGACCCAGCTGGTCAGGGCAACCTGCTTGTTACAAATATTGAGCCTGGCTTTCTGTTCTGCCATCACTGTCCTGCCATCAGCACTGCGGGTGGGGATGCTGTTGCATGATCCATGACCAATAATCTGTTCAGTTGATTGTAGTAGCTTGTGTCAAGTTGCTCAGTTGTGTCAGGATCTTTGGCACCTGAAAAGTCACTGCTGCCCTGTGGAGGCTAAATAACGTAGTCCTGGATTGAGGGAAGCCGAAGGGCCAGGCAAAGGCTTTCTGCTCCCAGGATTCTGGCATCAAAGGCATTTCCCAGTGTCCCTTTGTCATGTCTATACTGGATACATGTCCGGCAGCTCAAACTGCTCCACAGACATGGTTGTGCTTTCTACGCCAGCACTAGTACCATGGGACTGCTCCACTTACTGTTCAGTGAAGACTGTTGCGGGGTTGGGGGTACTTGTGCTGGCCGGCTGGAATGTGTTTACAGTCAGTGTGGTCCAGCCAGGCCAACCGTGTTCCATGGGGTGCCCACTGATGAATATACAATTGTTATACTTGGAAGAATTTCACAGGATCTTTTTCAGGAGCATAAGGACAAACACCATATTTATTGTTGATGTTACATTATTCAGTTTTATACATATTCACACACACACACACAGGCTACGTCGAGACTGGCCCCTTCTTCGGAATAGGCATGCTAATTTAGAACTTTGGAATAGGGAAATGCGCGGGGGATTTAAATATCCCCCGCGGGATTTAAATAAACATGGCCGCTGCTTTTTTTCCGGCTTGGGGAAAAGCCGGAAAAGAGCGTCCAGACTGGCGCGATCCTCCGGAATAAAGCCCTATTCCAGAGGATCTCTTATTCCTACTTGCAAGTGACCTAGCTTTGCAGGTAGGAATAAGTAGGAATAAGAGATCCTCCAGAATAGGGCTTTATTCCGGAGGATCGCGCCAGTCTGGACGCTCTTTTCCGGCTTTTCCCCAAGCCGGAAAAAAAGCAGCGGCCATGTTTATTTAAATCCCGCGGGGGATATTTAAATCCCCCGCGCATTTCCCTATTCCAAAGTTCTAAATTAGCATGCCTATTCTGAAGAAGGGGCCAGTCTAGACGTAGCCACGTTGCTTTCACTTTATTTTTAGTAGCTTAGGTTTGACACAGCACTGTGCTGTATTGGCTTGTGTGGGTTTTGGTTCTTGTCGCCTCCTGTTGTGTATTTTCATTTCCAAATGAGCTCTGTGGGTGCCTCGTCTGTTCGGAGCTCTGGTGTTTACCACTCTGAGGTTTTACTCTATGGATATGTGCATCTCTCTGTCTAATGTGCACTTTGCTGAGCACGTTCTAGGCAGCTATCCAGGTTCACTCTCTGCAGGTCTTTGTCCTTGGGCATCACCCAGACAGCCCACATCTCATTCCGGGCCTGGGTCTCACCCTCCCCCCACATCTCTTTGTGCTCACTAAGGACAGGGCTGAGATTTCTAGGTCTATGGATGGTTTCTGCACCAAGGCATCCCTGACCCGCTGGTCACTGCATTGTGCTGATATCATGGGTAATGGTGAGAAAAAGAAGGCACCAATGGGGAAAGTTCAAGGAGACACGGGATCGCGCTCCTTGGGCAGAGATACATCACCAGCAGCTGTCGGTGGGATGGAAGATAGATTCACAATCTGTTCCTCACACATTCCAGTCCGTGGCTGTGCTGTGCTTTTCTTCAAGTGCTTGCTTATGTTCATTCCACTTACGTGTACGCACACTGTGTGCAAGAGTAAAGGGAAGCTTTTTACCCTTAGCAATACCCGTTGGGCCAAGAAGGGAGCCCTCTGGAGTGGCACCGGTATATCAGTGCTTATACACCCCTGCTGGCCCTCCACCCCCTCAATTTCCTTCTTACCGCCCGTGACGCGTCTACACGCGGCAGTTAAACTGGATTCTGATTTAAAACCCTTAAATTGAATTGGCTGGTAAACCTCATTACAGGAGGAATACCAGCTAATTTGAGTTAGGGGTTTAAATCGTAATCCCGTTTTACTGCCGCGAGTAGACGCAGGCAGTTACTTCGGGCTAGTCAATTTCTAAAATGGCGACCGGCTGGGAACATGCAAAACAAGTGCGGGATATTTAAATCCCGGACTTGATTTGCAATTTTTGTCGCCCTCATTAGCCTCCCTAGATCGATCTAGGGGGCTAGTGTAGACGTACCCTATCTTACTCTCTATCCCCTTTTTAATGATTCCTAACATTCTATGTGCTTTTTTGACTGCCACTGCACACTGTGTGAATGCTTTCAGAGAACTAACCACAATGACTCACAGATCTCTTTCTTGAGTCGTAACTAAATTAGTCCCTATCTTTTTGTATGTATAGTTGGCATTGTTTTTTCCAATGTGCATTACTTTGCATTTATCAGCCTTACATACCATTTGCCATTTTGTTGCCCAAACACTTTGGGAGATCCCTTTGAAGCTCTTCACCGTTGGCTTTGTTCTTAACTACATTGAGGAGCTTAGTGTCATCTGCAAATTTTGCACCCTCACTATTTACCCCTTCTCCAGATAATTTATAAATCTGTCAAATAGGATTGATCCCAGTTCAGACCCTTGGTGGACACTGCTTTTTAACACCTCTCCATTCTGAAAACTTACCGCTTATTCCTGTCTTTGTTTCCTGTCTTTTAACCAGCTATCCATCCATGAGAGGACTTTTCGTATTATTCCTTGAAAGTGACTTTACTTAAGAGCTGTTGGTGAGGGACCTTGTCAAAGGCTTTCAAGAAATCTAAATACTCTATATCCACAAGAACCCCTTTGTCTACATGCTTGTTCACCCCCTCCAAGAACTCTAGTAGATTAGTAAGGCACGATTTTCCTTTACAGAAACCCTTTTGACTTTTCCTCAATAAATTATGTTTATCTATGTGTTGACAATTTTATTCTTTACCATAAGTTAAATGGAGTTGTCCAGTACTGATGTTAGACTTACTGGTCTGGAGTTGCCAGGTTTACCTTTTTAAATGTTGGAGTCATATTAGCTATATTCCAGTCATTAGGTTCAGAAGACAACTTAAAGGATAGGTTACAAACCATAGTTAATAGTTCTTCAATTTCACATCTGAATTCTTTCAGAACTACTAATGAATGGCATCTGGTCCCGGTGACTTGTTACCATTAAGTTTATCAATTTGTGCCAAAACCTCCTCTACTGACACCTCAATCTGGGACAACTCCTCACATTTGTAACCTATAAAAAATGGCTCAGAATTGGGAATCTACCTAACATCTGTTATCATGTAGACCGAAGAAAGTCTAGTAAGTGAAATAAACAATTTAAAATTAACACTGGTCTATACTTCAGGGCTGTGTCTACACTGGGCCACTTATTCTGCAAAAGCAGCCGCTTTTCTGGAATAACTTGCCAGCTGTCTACACTGGCCCCTTGAATTTCCGGAAAAGCACTGACAATCTACTGTAAAATTGTCAGTGTTTTTCCAGAAATACTATGCTGCTCCCGTTCGGGCAAAAGTCCTTTTCCGGAAAAACTGTTCCGGAAAAGGGCCAGTGTAGACAGCACAGTAGTGTTTTCCGCAAAAAAGCCCCAATTGCGAAAATGACGATCGGGGCTTTTTTGCGGAAAAGCGCGTCTACCTTGGCACGGACGCTTTCCCGGAAAAAGTGCTTTTCCGGAAAAGCATCCTGCCAATGTAGACGCGCTTTTTCCGGAAATACTTATAATGGAAAACTGTTCCATTTTAAGCATTTCCAGAAAAGGATGCCAGTGTAGACATAGCCAAAGTGTACAATGAACGCTTTATTTACACATGAAATGCAGACTTCTTTCCCCAGTGGATTCGTAACAGGAAGAGATTATCGACATTAGATGAAGAACTGATAAAGACAGAATTTGTTTTTCTTTTCACTTTATTGCTACTGTCTTTTCTTTTAGCTTTATTGCTTCCATTGTCACACTAGTGGAATCAATTATTTCCTTGGTGTAAAATGTTCAGAAGAAAATTTGTGATATCTCTTATGTGGCCTGGGAGGAAAAAGCTTTTTCCAAAGTTCCTCTTGTACCTTGCTCTAAAATTTTGTTTTTACCAGGTTCATCTGGGAAAACAATCTTTCATCTTCAGCACTACTTAAAAGTAGTGAAATCCACAGGAGAGCAACTGACCAAGTTCATAAAGGCCTTAATCCTCATCTGCAAAAGTGTGTTACCAAGTTTCAACTTCAAACTCCTCAACTTATTTGACCTGGGTCTGAGGCCAGTGAACCAAGGCAAAACTCTTTCCTGTGGCTCAAGTTGTAAATGGTGTCTACAGAACAATGGCAAAAATGAGATCTCAGCCCACTTATGTCACAAAGTGCTTATCAGAAAAGTAGATCATAAAAAGTTCCTCACCTGATCACTGCACATATGGTAAGGTGTGATGCTGATGTCTTATACTCCCTACCTTTTCTCTATTTGGCTATCTAAAATTGTACCTTGTGTTTCTCAAGCTGATAAAGATCCCTATTCACCTAGAGACTAATGGGAAACCACCATAAATGAGAAAGCTGAAGTATCTTCTGGTGGACTGGAAGTCACAGAGAGGCCAACTGACAAGATGTGTGGGATGCATGATGACGGGTGACATTGAAACAGGCCAGGTGATGGTCAAAGAGGGGGAACTCAGCTATGGAGTAAGCAGTGTTTCGTGAGGGAGAGATAAGATGTTAGATGTGAGGAGCTGCTGAGATCATGAGTTTGCACAATGTTGAGCTCAACCAAAGAGGGACAAAGAGATCTTGGTTAATGAGGAGGAAACTGTTCCCTTCTTAGGACACAGTTTAACTTCAGAGGCCCAATGGGATCACTTTCTGCCGATGTTTTTCCTCATTTTCTCACCAAGTTCTTGGGTTTTGACTCCATAAATGATTGGGTTGAACATGGTGGGGACCAGGACATAGATGTTGGCCAAGAAGATTTGAACATGAGGAGCGATGCTCTCACCAAACCGAATTGTCACAATGGAGAAAAGGTAGGGAGTATAAGACATCAGCATCACACAGATGTGGGCTGTGCAGGTTTTGAGGGCTTTCTGGGAGGAGATTCTAAGAACGGTCCTGATGATCAGACAGTAGGACAGGGCTATGAGTGTCAGGTCTAACACAGCAAGTACAAGTGTCATCAGCAAGCCATAGAGCCTGTAGAATGTGACGTCCCCACATAAAATCTTTGCCACAGTAACAGACTGACAGATCGTATGGGGGATGATGCGGTTGCCACAGAACGGCAGTTGGCTCAGCATGAGGGACACAGGCAGCACAACGACAATCCCTCGTATTAAACTAACCAACCCTAGCGTAGCTACCCGTGTGTGGGTGAGTATGGTGGCATATCTCAGAGGGTTACATATGGCCACGTAGCGATCGAAGGCCATTGTCACGAGGATGGATGAGTGCATTGTAAAAGCCATGCTGAGGAAGGTAATTTGGGTGATGCAGCCACTCACTGTGATGACTTTCATATTGAACCAAAATATACCCAGGGCCTTTGGCACAACGCAGGTAGAGATGCTGATGTCTGTGAGTGCCAGCATGCAGAGCAGCAGGTACATCGGCTTGTGCAGGGTCTGCTCTTTGCTTACCACAAACAGAACAGAGAAATTTCCCAACAGGCAGAAAATATAGCAAGTAGCAAAAGGGATGGAAATCCAGACATGAGAATCTTCCAGGCCTGGGATGCCTGATAGAATGAATGTTGATGTGTCAGATGGGCTGAGGTTGAAAGCTGCCATGAGGTGGTGGATGAGACCACAGGGTTGAGGAATTCACAGGGCACCTGTGAAAACACAGAATCACAATGAGCTGGGGTTACAGATAATAACCAATATTATAGGAAAAATGGTAGTTATTACCAGTTTAGAAAAATGAGTATTGATGTGGCCACTTTTACAGAAGGCAACAAATTATTTAGACCAAAGACAAATCTAGAGAAGCTCTCAGAAAGCTCTAACTGTGCCAGGTTAATTCGCAGCCAGATGGCAGATGAACATTGATGTTGAGAGGTGCAACATGTCTGCCCATTAGAGGGAAAAGCTTGAAGTCCTCAACATCAAAAAAGGTTCTAATTGAATGGTATGAACTCAAGACTGGGACCTTCACACCTTTGACACACAGCTGTGGGAAACCCTACTCGCAGTGCAAGCGTATGCAGAACCTAAGCAAAACATTGGGACCCTTAAACAGAAGGACAGTGAGAGGGGTTGTACACTTTATAACAAATAGCACAGTTAATATTTTATAGTTGTGCTGGGCTCGACAAATAGTGTAATCTACTCGCCCGTGGTGAGTAGATTACACCCCAGAAGAGCCGGCGCGGAGTGATATGAGCAAAGCGCAGAACTACACGGTTAGCGAGAGGGGTTCACTGCCGCTCGGCGAGCCCTGATTATGCACAATCTAAAAAGAAAGTGAGTAGTGAAGTGGCCACAGTTACAGGTGGCACCAGACCATTGCGGTGAATTCAAGGCCATAAAAGATATCAGAGGAGCTAACCGAGGCAGATGAATCAGCAGGTTGGGTGAGATGAAATTTGATGTTGACAACTGCAGTATGTCTGCCCATTGGAGAGAAAAGTTTGAACCCCTCAAACAGCTAACAAGATTCTAATTTAACTGCATGAACTCCGGACAGAGACTTGGCCATCATGGCACACGGCTGTGGGGAGTGCTGCTCACAGTGCTCACCATGACAAAATCAGCAAAACATTGGAATACGGGAGGATTTTCTCTAATCCTGCAGAAAAGGCAATGCCATGAGATCACTCAGACCACGTTTCACCTGGAGTCCCAGGCTGAGATACATTCTGCAGGGACACGACCAAGGGGGTTCTCTTATTTTCCTTGTTGGGCTGTCTTAAGGCTGGTGACTTCTTAATACTCTTAATACTCTTCTAGCTTCATCAGTCTGGGTCTCTCTTCTCCAGGGCTATGTCTAGACTGCAGGCTTCTTTCGAAAGAGGCTCTTTCGAAAGCATCTTTCGAAAGAGCCTCTTTCGAAAGATCGCGTCTAGACTGCAGGCGGATCTTTCGAAAGAGCAATCCGCTTTTTTGAAAGAGAGCACCCAGCAAGTCTGGATGCTCTCTTTCGAGGAAGCCCTATTTACATTGAAGAACGCCTTCTTTCGAAAGAGGAACTTTCGAAAGAAGGCGTTCTTCCTCGTGAAACGAGGTTTACCGCCATCGAAAGAAAAGCCGCGTTCTTTCAAAATTATTTCGAAAGAACGCGGCTTGAGTCTGGACGCAGGGGAAGTTTTTTCGGGAAAAGACTACTTTTCCCGAAAAAAACCCTGAGTCTGGACACAGCCCAGGTGGGTATTGAAGCTGTAGACATGTGTGATAAAGATCATGTAGGAATTTTTCTCTGTCTGAGGGACTGGAGTAGATTCGGATGTATCTTAGGGCTTTGCTATAAAGAATAGTTCATATGATGTGCCCCGGATGAAAACTAGAAGCATGTAGGTAAGAATAATAGTCAGTGGGTTTTCAATATTTGGTGGTGTTCGTTTGACTACCATTTATTTGTAATGCGTCCAGGAAGTAGATCTCTTGTGTGGATTGTTTTAGGCTGAGGTTGATAGTGGGGTGGAAAAGTTTGAAAGTAGAGAGAGTTTGAAAAGACTGGGTTTGTTAACTTACAAAGGAAAGGAATAAGAGAGGATATGAGAACAGACTATATATTACTGACTGGTAAAGAACAGATTATAGAGAACAGACTATACCTTACTGACTTGTAGAGAGTACACATAGAATGTGTTCTCCCTGTCTACTAAGAAAAGAACCAAGGTGCATGCAGTAAAACATGGTACATAGAAAACAGATAAAAAAGAATCTGTTCTTCACGCAATGTCAATTTAAACTGAAGAACTCATTGCCACAGGATGGAGTTGAAGCCATTAGGTAAACAAGAATCAGGAAGAGTTTTGATTTTTACATGGAAAGAGAGACTATCCAATCACAGCATTTATAGTTACAAAAATATCTTTGAAAGCATGTTTCGTGGCACAAACCTGCCTCCAAAAAACTCACTACAGGCCTGACCTCTGCTTATTTCTAGGGTCAAAGAGTGTAGCAGAGCATATATCACAGGCAACTACAGTTGGAAGCAGTAACTGTTAGTAATATTTGAGGGCATGAAGAGATAATTAGCTCCAGGGCAACTCTGTGGCCAAAAGAGTCAATGTGACCCTAGGATGCTAGCAGGGGAATCTCAAGGAGACCTAGAGAAGTTATTTTACCTCAGCATTTGGCACTCATATGACTGCTACTAAAATCTCGTGTCTCGGTCTGAGGACCACGATAAGACAGAATGTTGATAACACTGAAGAATCGCAAAAATATTAAATGATTAGAAAACCTGCTTTGTAGTGATAGAGACAATGAGCTCAATTCATTTAAATATTAAAAAGGTAGGTAAGAAGTGACTTTGGTACAATATATAAGTATGTACATATGAAGAAATTTCAAATAGTCTTTTTGGCCTAGCATACAAAAATATACAATGGAGAGAGTAATGAGGCATTCGAACGATATACCAAGAGTCTTTGCGGATTCTTCAGCACTGAAAAATTTTTACATCAAGGTTTGGAGTTTCTCTCTCTAAAAGATCAACTCTAGGATTATTCCTGTGAAAATTGTCTACCCGGGAAGTCAGAACAGGTGATCACAATGGTCACTTCTGGTCTTGGAATTCCATCACGGCTCGTCCCCATATTTATTGTAGCCCCCAGGAAACCCTGATCTTCCTGAGGCGGCTTTTCCGTGTTGACATTTCCTCACGTTGCAGTGTGGATGCAGTGGGGTTGCTCACAGGGACAACTGGCTACAGTGTGGTCCATGTTACGTTACAGTCTGAGACACCTTCTGATTTCATTGGGCCTCTTTGGTCTGTGCATGTGGGCGGCTGCCCATTCCCTAGTCACCTGGTTACAGGACAATGTGCCACTGAGATGTGGATACTTTGCGACTGCCCCCGCTCTCTCCTGCACACCGTGCGTTCCTTCGAGGTAGCCGAAAACACCTGGTTTCCCCAAACTGTGAATCAGAATCATGATTTTCTTTTTTCTGCTTTTTGTCCTCTTCAAACCAGAGATGCAGGGGCACAGGGAGAGTAGACCCCTCTCCCTTCCTGAAGCTAATTGATATCCCGATGGTTTTCAACCTTTGAGCCTGTGAGTTTGAGAATCCAGCAACTCTCCTCTGAGTTCTCTTCGATTCAAATGCGTCCACCTGTCTTTCAAGGGGCACGTGATGCCTCCAGTTGAAATCACTGTAGGCTCGTGGTCGGTTTTAATCAGATCGGCTGCATCTAGACTGGCATGATTTTCCGGAAATGCTTTTAGCAGAAAAGTTTCCCATTAAAACCATTTTTGAAACAGAGTGTCTAAACCACTTTTTGCGGAAAAGCGTCCGTGCCAATCTAGACATGCTTTTCCGCAAAAAAGCCCCGATTGCCATTTTTGCGATCGGGGCTTTTTTGCAGAAAACAAATCTGAGCTGTCTACACTGGCCCTTTTGCGCAAAAGAACTTTTGCCTGAACGGGAGCAGCATAGTATTTCTGCAAGAAGCACTGATTTCTTACAGTAGGAAGTCAGTGCTTTTGCGGAATTTCAAGTGGCCAGTGTAGACAGCTGGCAAGTTTTTCCAGAAAAGCGGCTGATTTTCCGGAAAAACTGGTCAGTTTAGACACAGCCATCATGTAATCAGGTTCCTACATGTGGATGTAGAATAATTTGAAGGAGTTCCAGAGTAAGTCGACAATTACTCCACTCAGGAAAGAAAAAGCAGTTTCACACATAATGAATGGAAACTGATTGTCTAGGAAGGAGTACTGCTGAAAGGGATTTAAGGGTCATAGTGGTCCACAACTTAAACATGAATCAACAGTGAAGATATTTAAGAGTGTGTTAGGCAAACATCTATCAGGGATGATCTAGATGGTCCTTTGTCCTGCCATGAAGGCAGGGGACTGGACTCAATGACCCCTCGTAGTCCCTCTCAATGTCCCTTCCAGTTCTATGATTTCTCCCATAGCCTGGGTGTAATAACAAGAGGAAATAAGAAATGAAGCATTTAAACTACTAGGCCTGTTAATTTGAGAATAACGGGCTGGTTATTGTGAAAAAACAACTCCTGCTTCTCTTGACGAATAATGCTTATTTTGAAATAGTTATTTTGGGAGACATTATTTCAAGATAAGTTATTTCAAAATAATGTTCTAGTATTTTAGTTTCAACAAGTGGAGAGCATTGCTTTACTCGGGTGCTCAGAGTCTGACTGAAATGCCCAGTGTCTGTGGCATTCTCACATTCGGTTTGAAAGTTGGGGATTTTAAAAAACGTGTCCCCTCCAATTTGGCTCTCAGGGAAGCCAATGTCAATCTGGAGCGATGCACTGAAGGAGAATGAGAGAGTAGACTGTGGCCAGCGTGCGACCCATGTCTGTTGTAACCCCCTGGTGACACAGATACACACTGGAGAGGTTTTGGCTGGTCTATCTACCATGCAGTGAAGTTGAGGAATTAGAAAAATCTCCTGAGACAGATAGAAAGACATGGTAAGAAAGAAGGAACTGATTCTAAGGACAAATAATTATCTCAGCATTTCCCCATATATTGGTAGTTCCAATTTATCTTGATAAATCCTTGTCATATCTGAAAAAAAACCTAAACAGTTGAACTCACCGTGATGGTGTATTCTTGCCCAGGTGGGTCTAGATTTCACCCCTGGAAACCTTCTTCATGCCTTGTCACTAAGCCTTAAGGCACGAACAGTCTCACCACAACTCACCACAGTCCCCTCAGCAGACAGAGCCAATCTCCTTCCTGCAGCAGTGAGGGAGAGATAAAAGACTCAGCGTGTGACTCTCAAATGTCTCACACTCGCTGTGCTGAACAGTCCCCTTTATGATTCCCCTGTCCAGTCCCTGCAGGCTCCCAGGTGGGCCGGGATTCCCAGAGAATTCCCTCAGTTCTGTGAGTGGTGGGATGAGCAGAAATTACACTCTGGAGACCTGCAGCTTGAGAGCCTCCCTCAGGAGTGAAGCAATTGGATGCTAACACAATGCTCAGCTTCTCAGGGCAAAAAGGAGTTTCCTAATGCTTGGCCTGGCTGGCTGTTCTGTGGGCACTGCCCTGCTATCAGTACTGGGGGGGTGGGGAGGCTGCCACACAATACAGGACCAACAATCAGTTCAGAGGATTGTAGTAGCGCACTGCTGCGTGCGGCCCATGCAATTGTCAAATCAAGTCCATTAGCCTCTGAAAAGCCACTGCCAACTTGTGGTGGCTAATAGATATGGTCCTGGAGAGATGGAAGCCAAGGGGCAAGGAAAAGGCTTTTTGCTTCCAGGATTCTGGTATCAAAGCCATTTCCCAGTGTCCCTTTTACATGTCTATACTGGATATAGGTCTGACAGCTCAAAGTGCTCTGCAGACACAGGTTGTACCTTTCTGAAGCAGCACTAGTACCATGGGACAGCTCCACTCACTCTGCAGTGAACACTGGTGTGAGATTGCAGGGTACCTGTGCTGGCCAACTGGGGTGTGTTTACAGTCAGTGTGTTCTATGCAGGCTGACAGGCCCTGTGCCAAGGCCATGAGGTGCTCACCAATGTTGTACTTGGAATAATTTCACAGGATACTGAATGGAAATGACCTCTCTCCTAGAGCTGAAAGGGACCATGAAAGGTCATCAAGTCTAGTCCGCTGCTCTCATGACAGGCCAAGTACTATCCCTGGCAGATTTTTGCTCCAAATGGCCTCCAAAAGAATTGAACTCACAACCCTAGATATAGCAAGGCACTGCTCAAACCACTGAGCTATCCCCCATCATCTGTATGGACATATCTACACTACAAAGTTAATTCGAACTAACAGACGTTAGTTTGAATTAACTTTGATAGGCGCTACACATGTGAACCGCTAGTTCGAACTTTATTCGAACTAGCGGAGCACTTAAAGTTAATTCGAACTAACAGACGTTAGTTTGAATTAACTTTGATAGGCGCTACACATGTGAACCGCTAGTTCGAACTTTATTCGAACTAGCGGAGCACTTATTTCGAACGAGGTAAACCTCATTCCATGAGGACAAACGCCTAGTTCGAATTAACTAGTTCGAATTAAGGGCTGTGTAGCTACTTAATTAGAAATAGTGGGAGGCTAGCCCTCCCCAGCTTGCCCTGGTGGCCACTCTGGGCCAAACCAGGGGAACTCGCCTGC